TAAATACAAAGAGAAAAAAGAGAATCAATAAAAAGTGGTATTTTTTATATAATACCTTCTTTTTACATTTTTCAACATTTTACATTTCATCTAGAAGCTAATTTTATAATTTAAAATTTTCAATTTTCACTAGTAATCATATATTCTTACAAAATGCACTTATTTTGATTTTGAATTTGATAATCAATTAAAATTATATAGGACTACTCCTTGTTACGCGAAAGTCTATTTTGAGCACAAATTATGTAGTTCAAGGGATGTCTTTTGGTAAAAAACAAATTAATTATGATATTAAAATAATAATTTAGAAGTATTTTTTACATACATAATTAATTTATTATAGAATATCCATAATTTATTGTAGCTTATTAATAATTAATTATAGATTTTTTATTTTCTTTATTAATAATAATAAAAAGGAATAAATAAAATAATTATACTTAGATATAGTCTGAACTAATTTAAGTAGTTGTACACTTGATTTGTTTTTACATAATAGGAAGTATGGATTTGGCTGTGAGTGATTCTATACTGTTCCCATAATAATGAATGCCGACTGATTTGTGTGTGAAATGTGAATAAAGAAAGAGAGTGAAGAAGGGTGGACTTTTGCAATGCTTGAGTAAATGTTTGTTTTGACTCCTTTTCCTAATTTTACCACCTCAGTTTTTTCTGCAGTCAGCCATCAACCCAACAAGTTCTTCTCTTTCCCTATATATATACCACTCATGGAAAATAGACAACCCAGTCCCAGTTGCAGAACCTTGTCTTTGCGTTTCAAACACTCTCTTCTATAGCAATCCACAAGGGATACAAGAACAAAACAAGAAAAAGGAGCAAGAGAAAAAAAGTATCACTATCCACACTTTTCTTTTTCCTTTATACCAGATGGGAAGACCACCTTGCTGTGACAAAATTGGGATTAAGAAAGGGCCATGGACTCCTGAGGAAGACATCATCTTGGTCTCTTACATTCAAGAACATGGACCCGGGAATTGGAGATTGGTTCCCTCTAATACAGGTAACAAAATTCAACATATGCTTTTATTGTTCCCTCTTCTTCCTTCAGAATTCTTTTCGGTTTTTTTCATTCTTTTGCAACTAGGTTACTTTTTCTTGTTTATTAAATGAAATTGCTCGAGTTATGATGCCATTAACTTTGGTATTTTTTATTTTTTTTTCAGGGTTGATGAGATGCAGCAAAAGCTGCCGACTCAGATGGACCAACTATCTCCGACCTGGAATCAAACGAGGCAATTTCACCGATCATGAAGAGAAAATGATAATCCACCTCCAAGCCCTTTTGGGTAACAGGTATTGCTTGTTATGTTAAAGGCTTGATAGTTTAAAGGTTGGATTTTTGTCTGCCATGAATGGAAAAGGTTGACTTGAGTTTTGGGAATTTTGTATAAAAGAAAAAGGTTTTGGGATCTGTTTGATAATAATGGGATTTTGATAAAGATGAATTTATGATGACGTGAGGTGTTTGTGATGGGTGCAGATGGGCTGCAATAGCCTCCTATCTTCCACAGAGGACAGACAATGACATAAAGAACTATTGGAATACCCATTTGAAAAAGAAGCTGAAGAAGTTGCAGAGCGAGGAGGGTGATGACGAAGGTAACAATTACGAAAAGGGAAACTCTTGTTCACAGCTAAAGGGTCAGTGGGAGAGAAGACTTCAAACAGATATCCACATGGCCAAACAAGCCTTATGTGAGGCTTTGTCCCTTGACAAACCAAGCCAAATCTTCCCTGAGACCAAACTACCCTCCACTTCTTCCCACCCCACATCACCAAACAAAACATCGTCCTTGTACGCCTCGAGCACAGAAAACATAGCCAGGTTGCTGGACAATTGGATGAAAAAATCTCCAAACAAAACCGAAACAAACTGCTCCACGAGCAACATGGTAACCACAGGGTCTAGTTCGAGTGAGGGAACACAAAGCACGGTGACATGCACACAGGACCAGTTTGACTCCTTGTGGAGTTTCAACTATGAGCGTTCACAGTCTGTGTCAGCAGAAGAGAACACGAACTTGGTGGAGAGCAAGCCAAACGTAGAGACGCAAGTGCCTCTGATGCTGCTGGAGAATTGGCTTTTCGAGGATGGCGCACCTCAGTGCAACGAAGATCTCATGAACATGTCGCTGGAGGAAACTGCAGATGGGTTGTTCTAGTTGTTCTAGTCCTAGATCCATGTAACCAAATCAAGAACAAAAAAGTCTTGAAAAGAAAGAAAGAGAATGCGTGTGAGTGTGTGTGAGAATTAGACTTTAAGTTATTGCAAACGAAACAAAAGTGTACATTACAAGTACATCTATAACTATGACTATCATCATTACCTATCTTATCTTATCTACCATAATAATAACTAGAGTTGAATATACATGCTTTTTCTTTTTTCCTTTTTTTTTTCTTTTTATTTTTAGCACCGGTTACTTAACATCTCTTTGCTATTCCTTTTTAATTTTTCTACAATTAAAGTTAATCATGTATCAGGACTTTTATCTATGGGAATTGGTTGCGTACAGGTACTGTGTACTTGTTACTAAAACAAACTCATTTCTTATCCGTTTTATTACTGTGAGATATTCATTTAAAAAGAAATACTCACACAGTATTTTTTAATCTCACAAATATTTTAAAAAAATATTTTAAATTTTTTTACACCAGCAAAAGGTCTTCTGGTCTTACAATTAATTGGTGTCCATTTTTTAAATAACTTTTTTTTTCATATTAACTCCATTGAGGATAGGTCTGAGACTTTTTGGTCTCCTTTCATAAGTGTATTTGTCATTCATGCGCTTAATGTTTCACATGTATTCAGATTCGTTGAAATTAAAATTATATGATCACAAAATGACAAAATGCAATATTAATGATCTATCAAATTCGTTTTCACATTTTAATACAATGAATACTTTGGTTTTTTGTTTTGCAAATCTGTACATTTTCCTATTGGCTTTTAGGTTCTTTGTACTAAGGTGGTAACGGTACCTGCTGCGTGTCTTTTCCCGTTTAATTAAAATGCTTGGTCATCACTTCTCGATACATTTTACACTTACTTAAATTTAATTAAAAGTATTAATTATTCCATTATTTTTCATCTATGTGAAAATTTTGTGGTATATAAGTACTATTTTGGTTGAACAAATTATTTTAATTATTTTTGCTTTATGAATTTGATACACCAGTAACCACATGCCTTTGTCTATATAGTATATTTCTTTAGTGACCAATTCGGTGTGTTCTTAATTAAATATATGAAAATTATGATGATATTACAAGCAAATATTAATAACATAATCTTTTAGCAGAATATTTCATGTTTAATCTCTGTTGTAGGTGACTTTTTAGAACCAGCACTATTTATAATGCTATAAAAGAAATTATTCTCTAGTATAAAGTGTTGAAGGATATATATATATGATATGATATTTGCTTAATAAGAGTTTGAAACTGGCACGTATGCACACATACATGGCCATACAAACAAAAACTCACACATGTATTGTATATCTCGTGTTAAAAGTTTGAGGCACGATTGTTTATGCCTAACTCTATATCAACTCATCTAATTCAAACTGAGATCTAATATTGTATTATGAATATGGCTACATTTTTTTTCCACATATTCTTAAATGAATAAAATAATTTTCTTAGAAACTAAGATTACCCAAATAAGTTAAATTCAATAATTTATATAATTATATAAAATTGTTTACAAATTAATTTCTACCTAAACTGATTTTAATTTTTAAATTTTAATTTTAAGATTGTTGAACTATAATTATTATATATATATATATATATATATATATATATATATATATATTTATTGTTTTACAAAGTTGAAAGGAAATCACAGGTCTCTGTACACAAGTGTGGACATGCATTTACACACATGTTTTGTACCACACCGAACAGTGTTGCAACGCAACGTTAAAGTTCATGATTTATTCGTGTCATTAGGTCCATAAACACCTTTTTCACATTTATGTAAAACTGTAGATTTATAAGTTTTTTTCTTTTTCTGTGAATTTTGGTCAATTTACATAATTGTATAAGGGTGTGAGGAAAGAAATAGATACTTCTTTTATAATCATTTCATTCTCTTTGGATTCATTATTTTCTATAAATTTATATGGTAAATTTTTATAGATTAGATATTTTTAAATATATTTAGAAATATAATATTACTTGAGAAACAAATTGGTTCCAGATTATGTAACATGTGTCCCCAAAATTAACAACATTAAAAATAGAAAGTATTGAAAAATAAAAGAAAAAATTAGACAAAACTCATCTATTAATACCGAGGTTAGACATGTGTGGTATAATTTAAGGAAAAACATGAAGTTAGAAATATCTATTTTAAGTTTTTATTTGAGTGAATTTGGTAGATATTCTTGATATGTTTTTAAGTTTTACATATATTTATTTATTAAAAAATAGATTTTAAATCTAATTCATTTTATAAAATTAATTTATAAAATAAAGTTTGTATATATTTATATATTATAAATTGATTATATCGTTAGTCAATGTAAAATTTTTAACACATTTTTTCATATTAAAACATATATTTGAAGTGTGAGAGAAATTAATAAGTGATTTAATAACAGTTTGATAACAAATGATATAATAAACTCAACAAATAATAAATATTTTAATAACGGTGATATAATAAATTTAACAAATAATTATTAAGATAAACTCAAACTCATTATTTTAATAACATGAAATGAAATTTAATCTTATAAAATAAGATTTTTACTTACTCATATATATTGTATAAATACAGCAGTGTGATTCCAATATTTATTATTTAAAGTTTACACATTCTTTTATAAAGAATGTATGATGTAAGTTTTTTAACTACTAAGGTTAATATGATATATAAAGGATGTTAATGTAATACTTCAAAACAAATAATAAGACAGGCATAGTCTGCAATTTAAGAAAACTCTTTAAATATCACAATTTGGTAATTCGGTTTAATTTTTCACATATTTTCTAAAAATATCTTGTCTTTATATTTGAGCAGTCTATAAATGAAGTATATATTTGAAGTAATTATGCTATATATTTATTTTCAAACAATTTATCTCTTGAATGAAGAGGAGATTGGAAACAGTTAGTGGGAGGTATAAGATAAACTTGCATTGTCGGCAACATATAAAAACCTTTTAATTATTATTTAAAAAAAAAACTTAATAAATTTGTGTAAAATATGAATGAACTTGGTCCTCATATAATAGCTTCACTCTTTTGATTTAATGCTATCGAATTTATACTGCAAAATAAAGGGGCCATGTCTCCTCATGATCCAGGCCTTTTTCTATAACTGGTTGCTGGCATCCAACAAAGAAATTAATTATTCTCCTTTAATTGAAATTAATTAAATATAACTATGAAATAAATAACATCACGTGCATGATAAGATGGAGACGTGGGGCATGCAAAAATGGAAGAAGATATTGTCAAAAGTCTAAAAGAAAAAGATAGAACCACAAACATATAATTATGCAGTAAAACTCATTTAATTCGTTTCACTGAGAAAGAATCTAATTCAGTTCAACATACATGAATAAGTTGTTCTAAATTCTTAACAATATAAATAATAACTATGATAAGAAATAATAAAAATATTCTATTAATAACTCTAGTAGTGTTTGTTTACAAAAATGTAATGCTGTACGGAACAAAAACAATAAAAATCTATGTTTGTATTTAGTAAATGGTTAAGAAAGACGATCATGGATTTAGAGAAAGAATGTTTATTTTTTCCATCCTCAAAAGGAAAGAGAAGAGCTCGCAATAAGCATATTATATATTTATCCTTATTTTAATAATTTAACCTTCAAGATGACGCTTATATCTTATATAACGTATAATTAATTATGTTGCATAGTTTATTATGTTTTTTAATAATATGATATAAAATAATACCAATAATAATGATAATAATATTAATAATAAAAAGTAATAATATACTAACAATGATCAATGTGAAAAATAAAATTAATAATAATAATATTTATTTTAATAATAATAACAATTATTATCATTATTATTGTTATTCTTATTAAAAAATGAAAAATTAAAAAATAATAGCAACAATTATAAAAAGAGTATAAAATAATAACAACAATAATAATAAAATTATAATTTATTATTTTAATACAATATATTTATTATAATAACGGTATTTTGATCATTCAGAATTATTTTCTTTATTTTCTTCTACTTTCACTTTCTTTCTTTTTCATTCTTTCTTTTTTTTTTCCTCAAATTCAACTTTCAACCCAAATATTTTTTAGTGAATAATTTATTTTTTTTATAAATAATATGAAATAATTTTTGATAAAATTTCAATATAAATTTCAAAGAAATTAAAATTTTGAAAATTTATTAAAATATTTTTATTATTTAAAATTGTAAAAACCTAAAAAATAGAGTATTAAAGTAGATAGATCTATTAAAATAATGAGACCGAGTATTTTATTATAAAATAATCTTATAATATAAATAGAACTTTCTAAAGTTCGGTTCATTATCTAAAATATTTCTATCTCTCTAAAACACTATTCTCTTCCTTTTCTTTCACAGCTCTCTAACTTTTCTCACAGTTGGATCATTTGTTCAACGATCAGAAGGTGTCTAGGTAATCCTGGCGTAGAAGGCTTTCTTTTCAACCGATCAATTTCTTGTTTTGAGTTAGTAAGTTTCGTTTCCTTTTCTTAATTTTCCTAAATTTGTGATCATGCAAGGAAATCTGCCTTGCATGAGATGTGAGTTTCTTCTTCTTGATTCTTGACTCAATTTAGGCTCTGAGGTTGGTTTCCTATCACCAATCGGTGATTTGTAGGTTTCTCTAGAGTTTCCTTGTGGTGCAAGCATCGGTTGGGGTTTTCTAGAGCTGTGTCGTGTTTCTCTAAGGTAAGGGAAGCTAGTTAACTAATTTTAAATAGAAAAATGTGGTATAAGTTTAATGGTTATTATAATTAAACTGTTGGACTGGAAAACGTGATTTTTGTCAGTGGTAATTGTGTGGAATGCATGTTTTGTATGTTGATGGATGTGGTCATGTGTGGAATCTTTTATATGTATGTTTGTGATGTTGTAGTTGATATGGTTGAATTGAATTGTACACAATTGGACTATTATAGTGGAAAAGAAATCTGTTAGTGGTTGTTTAGTGTAAGATGGAAGCTTAAGGTAGTGAAATAAGAAAAAGGGTTGTATAACTGATTTGGTGAATTTTGGGCTGTTTATGAACTGGTGTGGGTTTGTTTAATACTTGGTGATGTTAGAGATTTAATTTAGTAGAGTGTGGTGGTAATGAGGTAGAGTTCTACTTGTGTTAGAACTCAATTTGAAGGA